AACATGATCAAAAAAAATAAAAAGCGAATCAAAAAATAAATATTCCTCGATAGGCCTCTTTTGCTGCTCTCCTGGCCTTGTGGTCTGCGGGTCCTCTGGTAATGTGGTCCCTTGGTCCTTTGGTCCCTTGGTCCTCTGGTCCACTGGTCCTTTGGTCCCCTGGTCCCTTGGTCCTTTAGTCCACTGGTCCCCTAGTCCTCCGGTCTCCTGGTCCTGTGGTCCGCTGGTCCCCCTGGTATCCTAGTCCTTCTGTCTCCTGGTCCGCTGGTCTTTTGCTCTCCTACGGCGCTCGTCTGTCGATCTCCTGGTCCCCTGCTTGCGCAAATAGAGGCTTGATTGCTTTCTACTAGAGGTAGCTCCCTGGGAAGAAAGTAGGTACCCAACGATAAGGTCGCCGTCCAGTCATTGAGTAGCCCTACTCGAAAAATGGTTCACCAGTGGAAATAGCTCCCTACTAGGAGGGAGCTCCTGGGGAGGTACACTCTCCTAGGGAGGGGTATTTATTTTTGGATTTTTTTTGTTTTTTTTGATTTTTTTTTGTTTTTCGTGGCTTCTGGCTTCTGGCTTCTGTGGCTTCTGGCTTTTGTGGCTTTTGGCTTCTGTGGCTTCTGGCTTTTGTGGCTTTTGGCTTTCGTGGCTTCTGTGGCTTTTGGCTTTTGTGGCTTTTGGCTTTTTGGCCTATCCATCTATCTGTCTATACCTATCTATTTATCTATCTTTCTTTCTTTTGGCAGCTGTTCTCCTTTCTCTTTTTGTATTTGCATTTTCCTGTTGTTTTCGTTGCAGAGACGAAACCAAACAAGGAAGCAAGCAAGCAAGCAAGCACGAGCTGCTCACCTTTGGATCTGGTGTGCTGCTGGGGGGGGCGCTGCGCCCCCCCCAACCCCCCCCGCGCCACGAAATCTGCACTTCATCCCCGACACCCGCGCCTGCCACGAAATCAATATTTTAAGGTGAACTCCCCGGTGCAAAACTTTCTAACCAAGCAAATATCTATCTATCTATCTATCTATCTATCTTCTTATCTTATCTAATCTAATCTAATCTAATCTATCTATCAATTTATCTTTCTATTTTTCTATCTTTCTGCAGTTCAACAGCCACAAAGTACTGCACCTGCCACGAAATCTGCACTTCAAGGTCCACA